GTTTGTAAGACTTAACCTTGAAAATATCAACTCTAGGCAAACTGACATCCATGTTTAATATATTTCCTGTCAAAATCTCAGCAAGATTTTTTAATGGGTATAGGCAACACTGATCAAAAAGTTATATCAATAGGTGAAGGAACTAGAATAGCTGAAACAGTCTTGTGAAATAAAAATGTAAAGAATATCAGTATATAGAATGTATAGGCATGGCCGGGCGGTGGTGGCACACGTCTTTAATCCCAGCACTTGGGAGGCAGAGGCAGGCGGATTTCTGAGTTCGAGGCCAGCCTGGTCTACAGAGTTCCAGGACAGCCCGGGCTATACAGAGAAACCCTGTCTCGAAAAACCAAACACACACACAAAAAAAAGAATTTATAGGCTTATAGATAGCTCCACAATCTGGGACCATGGGCTTATAGATAGCTCCACAATCTGGGACCACGGTACTGCCAGAGGCTCAGACACAAACCGACAAGATAGAGTGGGGAGCCAGAAACAGACTCACACAGAAAGATCAACAGAATTTTGAGAAAAAATGGAAGCAATTCATGAGAAGAAAAACTATTTCCCAGCTAAGGGAACACAAGCAACTAATATATGTGGACACCCCTCAAAAGAACTCTGAACTGAATCTCACACCTTAATCAAAATTAAATGTAAATGAGTTAAACATAAAACATAAAACAATACAACTTTAGCTGTCAACACAAGAGGATATTCTCAAATGCAGAACTAAGCAAGCACTTCTTCAACTTTACACCAAATACATGATCCACTAGAGCAAACACTAAACATTTGCTTGTGACCCAAATGAAGGCTTTTGCTTTGCAAACGACCCTCTGAAGAGGCTGAAGGCACAGACTATAAACCACGAGAAAATTTGCCAATCACATGTCAGACCCAAAACTAGTATCTGTAATACATCCAGAACTCTCAGAACTCAACTGTTTAAGAACACACACTAAGAAAATGGCCAAAAGGCGCGATGAGGCATTTCACTAGGATATAGAGAAGACGGACACGTAGAAAGGCATTTAACAACATAATCTACGGGTAATGCAGAAAAATCCACAAGACCCACAATAGAAGGGCTAAAAATAAAAATCAGGGAAGGCAGGGTGGAGAAATGGCTCAGCAGTCAAGAGTACTGGATACTCTTGCAGAAGACCCTGGTTTGGTTCCCCTGCCACGTGGCAGTTCTCAACCATCCATATATAAACACAGTTCCAGGAGGTCTAGTGCCCCTTTCTGACCCGGGTACAAGTGGTACATACATGTGGTACACATTACATACACCCAGGCACACATACGTATACATACAATAACAAATTTTAAGCATTATTTTTATGGCAATAACAGTGGAAATGTAAACAGATACAGCTGCTTTGGAAAACATTTGACAGCTGTTTAGAAAACTAAGCAAGAGATTTCCTTTTCCTTTCTTGATTATTTAGGACAAGGTCTGGCTCCGTAAACAAGGCTGATCTTGAACCGAAGGTAATCCTGTTTTAACAGTCCTGTACGCTGGATTCGCTGTGCCTTGCCAGCATTCATTGTGGCTTTATTCAGAATTAGCTGCAAACTGGAAACCGGGCACATGAATCGTCCTTCACCAGGTGAACTGTTCAGTACTGTGGTGCAGCTAAGCTTGAAACCTGGATAATCCAGATCGTGCTCAATGAAGAAGGTACTGAAGGTTACAAACGTATCTATCTCATGATTCCATTTACAAAATAACCTGAGACTACAAAACTTTAGAAATCAAGAACAAAGCCAAGACTGCCAGAGGCTGGAGGGATAGAGGGAAAGAAAGGGAAGGAGATGTGCTTCTGAAGGGGGCTACGAGAGGTCTCAGTGGATGAAAATACCTTTTGTTATGCTGGGCATGGTGGTACAGATCTTTGATCCCAGCACTTGGGAGGCAGAGGCAGAGGAATATCTATGAGTTCCAAGGCCATCCAGGGCTACAGAGTGGGATCCTGTCTCAAAAAATAAGTAAAACAAAAAGTAAATCCAATATCATTATGCTATTGCTCTGTAGTTTTGTAAGAAGATGTTACCATTAGAGGCAACTAGCTTAGTTTCTCCCTTCATCTCCTGGGGTCCCACTGCGATGGAGAAGGAAATCTCCCTTTTGTGCTCAGCACCCACTCTAAATTCCTAAAAAGATAAGCTTCAGCAACGCTGACTCCTTTGTCCCCTCCTCAAAACTGTAAAACTGCTATGAGATAACTCACTGCCCACTCTGGCTTTTTTTTTTGTTTTGATTTGTTTTGTTTGTTTGTTGTTGTTTTTTCTCTTTTTTTTGAGACAGGGTTTCTCTCTGTAGCCCTGGCTGTCCTGGAACTCACTCTGTAGACCAGGCTGGCCTCGAACTCAGAAATCTGCCTGCCTCTGCCTCCCAAGTGCTGGGATTAAAGGCGTGCGCCACCACTGCCCAGCTTCACTCTGGCTTTTGTAAACCCATTTATTGCTGTATACCAGGGAGTGGGACAGCTCCTTTATGGCTACATACAGAGTGGGACAGACAGATCCTCACAGCTGAGAGGAGTAAAAACAGTTTTCCACTCAGCTACACGCTGCACACAAGTGCAATATTTATATAGTGCCCACCTTCACAAGCCCTTCCTCTAGCCATTCCTGTGTAGCATGTCTTCAATTTGGTTCTTAGGCTGTCGACCTGATAGCAGTAACTAATAAATTCATTTAATTATAACTTGGTTCAAATCTATCGTCTTTCCCCAGTGGATTCAAACTATTGCTCAGCATGGCAGGGATCTCATGGCCTTTAGGGATGGCTTATCTCATTCCCGGAATAGCCGGGCTTCAGGAGCACCACAACACCCCGGGCTCTAATCCCTTAACTCTCTCTCTGATCAAGAGGGAGCAGCTCTAGATTCAGGAGAGACTCTGTTGACAGCTCCAGGGACCTTTCCTTTCAAAACTTTCCAAGCATTGAAAGTCACAAAACACCAGTGCTAGGAACATTCAAAACAGTGGCTTCAGGACTCAGTCACCCTGGCTTTCAGTAAACCAGAGCTGAAGTGAGTAGTAATGACACACTGTTAAGGCCCAGGCCAACTTTGAGACCAGGCTCCTAGCCCTTACCCTGAGCTTGCTGCCCCTAATCCTGGCCTGTCAGAAAATCCAAAAACAACTCCAAGAAATCATTTAGCCACTCCTTCTGTGTCCAAGCCCTGGAGACCTGCCTAAGGCAGAGGGTGAGCTAGGTCCTTCAGCATGGCCTGCAACCAGTCTGTCTCGAAGAGTCGCCTTTCACTGTTCAAGATTGTCAGATTGCAGCCTCACCTTAGGTGGACACCACCACTGGGCCGCCCTATTCAACACTGCTATTTTGCAAAGTGGTTGGCCAAGAAGAAAGCTCTGGAAAGCCTGTGAAGATGAGTGTTCTCTGCAGCTGTCACTCACAGGTGGCAGGCACAGGACACAGTGGACAGGCTGTAAATTTAGCGCTGGATTCCAGACTCTACCGCCACATAGCCAGCTGTGCTGGTGGGACCTAGTTCCTAAGGCACCTAGGGGAAATGGTTTCATGTAGTTTTTGTTTGTGTGTGCTGAGTGTGTGTGTGTGTGTTGTGCGCGCATGTCTGTGTTTGCAATGTGTATGCTTTCTTCTCAGGGTTCTAAGCACTTGTGTGTGACTGTCCTGTGTCTTTAGTTGTCTGGGTGTGTGTGGTGTGTTGTTTATCTCTGTTGTGAACAAAAACGTCGGAAAAGGAGCTGCTTCTGCTGCTGTGGAGGAAAACTGAAAGGACGCTGTGTCTACAGAGATTAACTGGCTGATTAAAGTTTCAGTACTTTGGAGAGGTTGGAATGTTCCAGGTCCAGAGGCAAATTACTTTATCTTGGGCTAAGTTCTGGCCCTCGGGAACAGGCATTTCTTCCTTGCCCCTCTGTTGGAACTAACATCTTGTGGCAATAGATGACTTCCGTTTAGAATCTATTGATTTAACAATGCTATCAGATAGCATTTTGAACCTATAGGAACACTTTCCCATTTCACCGTTACCTGCCTCTCTGGTATATCCACCAACGCATTTTAAACTTGCCTTGATATATGGCTTTATCTGTTCTGTAAAACTATAAAAACTTCCTGAAACTGCTTTCACATCCGAACACGGAATTAGGGGTAACTTAAATCTGTTGTCTCAGCTCACGGTCACTCAAAATGGCTCAATAATCTTTTTCCCTTTAAGATGAGAGCTGTGGTTTCTGCGCTGACACTGTGTGTGTGGCGTGTTGTTTTTATCTGTGTGTATGGTGTCTAGGGAGTGTGCATCTATGCTGTGTGTTTGAATTCATGTAGTAACTGTGACATTCACGTGTACCCCTGTGTGTGGCTTGTATCTGGGGAAGGGTCCTGAGGATGTGTCCTTTTGGGTGTGCCCACACCTGTGCTATCTGAATGAGGGTCTCGCACGTGTGCAGCTGTAAACATGTGCATGCAGTACTTGTGAGCTTGTTTCTGCTCCGGATACCTGTGTGGGGGTCAGTGCGCATGGGCTGGAAGAGTCCCCTAATTCGGTTCAGTGCCCCGTGAAGGTCCCCTACGCGGCCAGAAAAAGCGCGAGGCAGGTCGGCGGGCGGCGCCCCGCTCCTCCCCGGGGGCCGGGCACACGTGGGCCCCCGGCGCCGCCTCCCCGCGCGTCCCCACCCAGCGGGCCGCCCCCGCCGCCGAGCGGCTGGGGATAAAGTGGCGGCGCAGACGCCGCGCCCTATCGCTGCGCAGCCGGCCGCGCGCAGTAGTCTGGCTCTAGCCCGCCGTAGACCCGGACCCGCGTGGTGCTCGGGGAACGTGACAGCGGCGCTCGTGGCCCCGGTAACTGCCTCCCGCCCCTGCCTCAGGATAGGAGCGGCCGCCAGGGGTCCCCTGCGCGCGTGTGCGTGCGCACGAGTGTGCGCGCGTGTCAGCGTGTGCGCGGGAACGCGCCCCTCGCGCCCTCGCACCAACCCCCAAACAGACTTGTGCCCATCAACCGCATCTTCCCAGACCGGTGTGGGAACAACGGCCAGGTCCACATCTTGTGTGGCGTGCTGATGACAGCCGCGAGGCTTCCTTCCCCAAGCGGTCGCGGGCGGGCAGGAGGCAAAGTTTGTCGGAGAATCGGGGTGACTTTGCTCGGGGACCCGCATCTGCGCGAATGCGCGGTGCCGCGGAGCGCGTCTCGCAGCAGCTCCGGGCTGGGGACCGGCTGTCCCTCGCTCCCGGACCCCTTTCAGGGGTGTGTTCTGGAAAAGTGGCGACATGAGCTAGAGCTGGAGCAGCAGGAGGGAGCAGCTCGCACCCCTGCAGCCCAGGCGGGGAGGGCGCGGACCCCGTGGTGCTGCCCTGCGGCCGCGATGAGGGAACAGCCCTCGTTTGCCTGGCGCTGATACTCTGCTGTGGCGGTAGTGGAATGCAAAAGCCAAGACTAATGGAAACAGGTTTGTCATGGCATCTTTGGCATTCAGAAGGGAAAAATCGCTCGGGGCGCGTCACCTACTTATTATGCCCCCAGAAACCCGCTCAGTGGAGATTTTAGGAGAGATGGGTCCTTGCAGCTGGGGCTTTGTACCCACGGAACTGACTGTAATTTCCGCTTGATTACAGCTAAAATAGTCTTTAAGATGAAGTTTCCTGAGATGATTTAAAATAAACACAGATGGGAGGGGGCTATACCGAGACACTTTAAAAAAATAAAGTGAGCATTTTCTTAAGGACGACCAGGACTTTTCAGTCTGTGGAGGGGTTTGCAAGAAATGTATGTCATTTTAATATATATGTATCAAATTGGGGTTTGTTTTTTTTTTAACTGCTTAGAAAAGAAGCCACAGTCCTGACTCTAAAAAAGGCTTTCTTTCCTCCCGTATGGACATAAGTGTATTTCTGACTTTAGAATATGTCCACCTTTCTTCCAAGGGCCTAAAGACCCCCGCAGGATGCCTGAGGCAAGTTCACCCAGGCGAACTCCGCAGAATGTTCCCTACCAGGACCTGCCTCACCTGGTCAATGCAGACGGACAGTACCTCTTTTGTAGGTACTGGAAGCCCAGTGGCACGCCCAAGTAAGTCCTCTCCCTCTGCGTCCTCCTTCACGGCACCTGCTCCTTCTCCTTGGTCATCATGGGATCCACCCTTTCTGTGACCTGCCTCTCATGCCATTGACACCCCTGGCACAGTGGTGGTAGCAAAGTTGAGAGCCATACTTTATGACTTTTCTTAAAAATGAGGGCTCAAGAGTTCTCTTTTCACTACAACTAGGATAGGAGTCCACTGTCTGGCAGTTTTCAGAGATTTATATGACTTTTTTTTTTTTTTTGGTACCAGAATTGCTTTCCTGTTGTAAGCATTCACTTAAAAGCAAACCGAACAATTACCAAAAAATCCAGTGAATGCGTAAGATAACTAAAATTATATGTGCCTGTATCTGTCTTTTAACCCTTGCTGTCTGCTCCTGCTTAGTTCTGAGCACCAGAGATGACACCCAGCTAGTTGGGAGGAGAGGGGTCTGGGGTTTCCTTCTGGTTTCTCTCCAGCTCAGTCACTTTCCCATCCAGGATCTGCCTTGCTGTTAGAAACAGACTGGGGCTATGCACAGCCACCGAGCTGCTCCTCCACCACCCTGTTCCTCTTGGGTGAAGCAGGAAAAGCCCTGCTTGTTTGTGCTAATCATGGAAGAGAGTATCTGTAGCAACCTTGGCCTGGTGACTAGTCACTGTTTCCTGTTCCTTGTTTCAGGGAAAGCTTACCTGTTCCATGGGCCTCTTGTCTCCCAAGGGGTCCTGGTGGGTATGTACTGTGCTCCCATTGTGGTTCTGGGGTTACCCAGTTAAGTAGCTATCTTAACAAGGTGCGTGCCATCCAGGTGGTTTCCTATTAACAATGTGGAGGGAATGACTTTAATACCGTGGCTTCTGTGCAGCTACGCCAAGTTGTGTGTTTTCAAAGTGGGCAGTGGTGCATAGGCTGGTTGGTAAGTGTTCCTGCCAGTTCTTGGAGGAGAGTGTGCTGGAGTGTGCAAGTGTGCAGGTGTGTGGTGTGTAGTGTGTGGAGCATTGCTGTTCCCATTAATCATTAATTCTCCCTGAGTTAACCAATACCACTAGCATTGGGCGTTCTTTATACTTTCTAACAAGTTCTTATACAGTGAGCGGTTTAGTCACTCCAGGAGGGGAATAGGGACTGAAAATCTACTGTTCATGTCCAGCCTCAGCCTTTGCAGGCTTTGTTGGTGGAGTAGTGACAGTGCCCCAGTTCACAGTAAAACACAGAGGGCCTGCAGTCTTCAGTGGGGGAAGGGAGGTGGTGGACTGGGCCAGGAATGGCCAAGTTGGCTGCCCTTGTCTTGGCTGTGGGTGGTTTTCACAATCTTCCCCCACTGAAGTTGCGATGCAGGCAGCTCTCAGCTCACTTGCTTTTGCTCTAGTTAGAGACAGCAAGCCAACATCTTGGCTTCAGCTGAGCTGGCTCTTGGATGTCAGCATCTGCCTTGTGATGGCTGCAATGGGTGTAGGAGCAGGGCTGGATAGTTACCGTTACTGGGACCAAGGATTTGGGGTGGGGATGGGGGGAAGTGCATTCAGAAAAAAACAAGTTAAAAAAAAAATAGGTTAAAGGCAGGAGGCATGAAGTAGAGAAAGCAGCAGAGCCACCAGCATTTGTGGCTTGGCCACTTCCCATGTTGTGTGTTGTAAGAGAGGATAGATAGGTCCGGGGTCCTGCCATGGTTTCACAAATAACTCAGGTGGCTGTCTCTGGAGCCTGCTGTCCACCTGGCCTGCTACCACCTCCTGGAGTGAATTCAGTTAGTAAACTCTCTTTGGAGTAAGGGACTGTCTGTCTCTGATAGTGCCAGTCTTGGAAACATTTCACAACCAGCTCTGACCAGCTGGGACAACACTGTCCTGGAATGCTCCGAGAGAGAGAGAGAGAGAAAGAGAGAGAGAGAGAGAGAGAGAGAGAGAGAGAGAGAGAGAGAGAACGTGAGAGAACGTGCTAGCTCCTTGTAGTTGATGGACATTGGAGAAGTCATAACGGTCTTGGAGAAAGTACCCCACACCATTCAGAATGGTGGGAAGGCAGTAGGTTTAGGGCAGAAGACTGTGCCAGCTAGTAGCCAGGCATCTCCAGATCTTAATTACAGGACCAGCTGCTTGGCAAACTTCTGTCTTTCATGGTGCAAGTGACCCCAAAATGCCATGGCCCACATAGTAACACCTGCTTGCTGTAAGGAAAAGAGAGTACCTCAGATCGTGTTGGGCCTAGCCCACCCCTATCCCAAAGCTTTTCCCTGTCCTCATTGCAGTCTGGGCCTCCCCTTGCATAACATGCCTCTTCCCAGTAAGGGGGAAAGAGGGGAAGGAAGAAAAGAAAAGCAAAAAGAAAAGAACAAGGAGGCTGGATCTCCAGGCCTGTCTCACCAGCCACGGGGATAGCCTGTGCACCTGTTTCTTTGCTACTTTGAGCCTCAGCTGCCTGCCCCTGGAGTCCACAGGCCTGTCTCCCACAGGGCCCATGTCTGCCCTTGTGACTTGGCATTTGTTAGCTTGCTTTTCTTGTCTGCTTGTTGTCCTCCTGTCCCCTGAGCCCTCCCAGAGCACCTGCTGGGACGTTCTGCCTGAGAGGCCTCACTGTCTGGAAGGCTGGATCTGCAGGTGCCCAGGCAACAAAGTAACTGGTGTCTGCTGGCCACAAGCTGGCAAACTGGCCCAACCTGCTTCTGGACGCTAGTTAAAATTCCTTGTGGAGTCTGAGGAAGGAGAGTTGTTCTTGGGATGGTTAACAGCAAAAGCTGATTGTATCTTTATAAATGGTAAGTGCTCCAGGCCCTGAGGAAGAGGAGAGCATTCTTGGGATAGTTGTTACTGTGTGAACATGCAAACATGCTTTTTTAATATGGCCGTCTGGAATCTTGGGTTCAATGAATCATTATTCCCTTTGGCCACATCAAAGCAGGTCTTACTCATATTTACAGTCGTGAAAGTGTTGTGCTATACACTGTGGATCTCACTTTTGTGAAGGACCAAGTTAAGGTTCAGAGACTGTGCTAGACCCCTGTCTGTTCCTGATCTCTTTAATATCTGCACCAGACCAGAGGGACACAGTGTGGTGGCTCCTATGGCGCCTTTGCCAGAGATACAAGGTTATACAGCTTCTTGCAGGCTGGGGAGACAACTCAGTAAAGGGTTTGCTGTTCCCTTTACTGAGTGGGTGAGGATCTGGGTTCGATTCCCAGAACCTATGTAAAAAACTTGGAGCAATGTAGTGGCTGTGCACCCATCTCTAGTGTGGGAGAGACAGAGACAGGCAAAAGTCAGCCTGGCCCTATTCACACTGAGCTACTAAGGTTGACCTCTGTCCTCTACACATTTGTTCATGTGTGCATATATACCCACATTCACACACACCCACACACAGACACTGTATTGTGGATGCCCCTGCCGGGTTGTCCCAGATTCTTCAAAGCCTGTGTTAGTTACTCTCGGGGACACACCACCAATCATTGTTGCAGGGTATTTGATCACACTTTGAAACTTGAGATTGTGTTACTCCCTATTTTTTAAAAACAAGCAAACAAACAAACAAACAAAAACCAACCTGTTTCTAGTTGTGGTGTGACTCAGCCCTTAGCACACATCTTTAATCTCTCTGGCTGGAATATAGACACACCTTTAGTACACACCTTTAATCCCAAACAATGAAGGTAAAGTTGGTTTGTAGAAGGAAGCAGCCATGTTTGAAAGTGATGTCTAATTGAGTGGCAGACAACGTGATTAATCAGAGAAAGATTCGACAGACTAGGATATGCCCAACTCTCATGAGAAGAGAGAGGAAAGGGAAGCTACTTGAGGGGCAGTGCAGAGAGAAGGAGGCAGTTTTCCTGGGACAGTTGTATATAGGCAATTACAGAAAGAAAACAAGCTAGACACAGGTGAAGACAGAACGAACCAGAGAATGAGAAGGAGCCAGAAGATTAGAACAGATTGCCAACGTTATTATGAGGCCAGGCAGAGCAGTTTAGATGAAACTGAGAGAAGCCAAATTGAATCCATCAGGTTGGAGAGTAGTTTGAGCCAGAACAGCTGAGTTGAACCAGCCAACCAGAGTTCAGAAAGAGCTAGGAAGGGGTGAGCTCATTCTGCAGCAAGTCTTGGAGGCTGAAAACATTCTAGGCCTACATTGGACTGTGTGGCAGCTAGAAGCTTCCAGGACTAGTCCTAGGTTAGCAGACAGAATCAGTAAGAAAGCAATTACAGCAAGAAAATAAAAGTTATTACTCTTACAAACCTAAGACAACTTTGTCCTTACATGTGGATTGCTGTCGATACGCAGGTGAGGGCAGATGTAATGTAAGATTAGAGTCTGTGATTGGACAAAGGAAGGCGGAGTTGAGAGATTCAGAGAGGACGGGGTGGGGGGGGACGGGGAGAAGGAAGAAGGACAGAAAGGATGGATGGGCATGTCCTGTTCAGAGTCAGGCGAACTGCAGGGAACAGGGAAGACTGAGGCTTGTGGCTCCCATTGGGGGAGGGGAAACCGTGTTACAGAACGTAGCTGTCAATAGTGTGGATTGTTATTTAATATTACACACAACACTTACAGGTAATGTTTTCTTAATTCTTACATTTGGGGGTTGGGATAGATTACTTCATAGGACAAAAAGAAAAGGAAAGGGAATTCACTGAAATTATTCACACATCAAAAGTAGTATATTGATTAAAGATATGCATCTGTTCTGGAGAAAGTGGGGAAGCATACCCATACACCTTGAGTGTGACAAGCTGCCTCACTCAGACTCCCAACGCTGGCAACGTCAACTCCTAGTTCTTTGGCAAGTTCCCTCTGATGGGCAGGGCCACAGACACTGGCCTTTGGATGGGGTCAAGAGGCTACATGTTCTCCTGCACTGGGCATCTATAGTTGCCCCTTGCCCAGGGGTCACCTTTTCATTCCTTTCACCAAGTGGCCTTTAGTCCTACAAAGTGCAACTTTGAATTAGGAGTGAGAGTCAGGAGCTGTGAGCACACTGGGTGGGAGTTCCATTGTCCCGAGAACAATGCTCACT